CGAACAACTTGACCACTTGACTAAGGAGTGGCTTTGATACCACATGTAATAATCTTAACTCTTACGTCTTATTACTCTCAAGGGTCTCCAATCACTTACTTGCACAAGGCAGAATTGTATGTTAGTACTAGCTCACTCTTGGTTAAAAACTACATTAAGTCACTCAAGAGCACTCATGGAATACTCACTTGACTCGCCTAAGAGGCCCTGCACCATTAGTAACTATGCTAGTATGTTCATTCAACTTTTCCACACCCTTGTAACCTAGGTGTGCTGAGTTGCACTTCTATTAACTCACTACGTTGTATGCCAACCTCGTTGTGTTGCGACCCTCTTTGCACCTGAACTCCCTAAGTGTGAGACACCTAGTACTGAGTCCAACCCCTTGGTCGCCCTCCTTACAAAGGCGGGCCTTACAGGGGGGGGGGGGGGGGGGTAGTGGATCAGCAGCAGCAGGGGATGGAGGGTGCTTTTAGCTGAAATAAGGAAGGCTCGACTCCCTTCCCTCCATCCCTTTGATTGGCCCATGCACTCTGGAACATCGGCATCTCAATCAGAAATTGAGATTTAAGAAAGTAAGGAAATGGAGAGTGCAGGGGGAGCTCATTTCGCCCTGTTCACACCAGTTCCAACCAACCAAACCAGGGCGAGGAGGAGGGCCCCGAAAGCGTCGCAGAAAGCAAGCAAAGCAAGCAAGCAAAGGGCGATGATGCCCAACTGGACGTGGGATTGGTGAAGGGCTCTGTGTGAAGGGATCTCTCATGGGTCGCCACGTGGCAGAGCCCACCTCCCTCAGTTTAGCAGTCCAGTTGGCGAGCTTACTCATGGCCCATTGGCATCTCGTCTCATCCCCATCTCCGTTTCCATTTCATCATCCTGGGTCAACTTTGCCTACAAGTGCGGTACTGGCTGCTATTACGGCACCAACTGTATTGTGTGTGTATGCAGGCTGTCCCCTCCACTTTCCCCTCTTTCTTTCTGGCCCCTTTGTGGCCAAAAAAACAGGGGGACCCCACCCTATGAGAGATTGGGCATCTTCTTCAGTTTGTTTCTTTGTTTTTGTTTTTTTGTTTTGTTTTTTTTTTTTTTTTTAAATCTGTTGATTGATTCCCCACACTCCATCTTCCATTCCCCTTCCCTTGTTCATCTCACGTATTTTCCCTCTTCCCGGAGTTCAAACCCCCTCTCCTGTTACAGTCTCGATTTAATTCTCTGTGGGATGCGAGGAATCATCCGCTTGGGTCAACTTGAGTTTGCCAACTAAAGAAGCTCTCACATAATCGTTCTCACATAATATACAATAAAATAAACAATAAAAAATGGTCTGTCTGCAATCTCAACTATGAAATGGGAGGGACTTCATTCATGCTTGTGCAAATCTGGGAGTGTTAGGGTTGATGCAAGCACTCTCAACATCCCCCACCTCTCATCAATATGGGATTACTTTTCTTATTTTATCATGCTTTCTTCATTTTTTCAAGTTCTAATACAGTGCCATTAGAGTAGAAGAAGAAATAAATTAAACTTGGATTGTGCAGGGAACAAAAGTTCGAGAACGTAAACAAAGATTGGCCAAAAGTGAGAAAAAGCAACAGTCGAAACACGCAGTTGGTCAAGGCGCAGAGGGGGTTTGATCGACTTCAATCAACGCGGGATGAAATCCTCAATCTTTTGTGTCAGTCAAGTTGGGTGCCAATCCTTCGGGGTTCATCCAAAAGCAAAGCACTTTTCCTGCTACAACTGGACGACCAAGCAAACGGAGGTGGCCTCGATATTCAACCAATTGTAACCCCACCCATTCCGGGAATCCACGGCCAATTGAAACCCTACCGCTCTCCTATCATTCAGGCCACCCACACAGGGCAACTGAACTGAAGCAAGTTCCAGGGAGGCAGCGTAGGCTGCCAAGTCAGCCCGCGCAGAGGAATAAAGGTGGAGGCTGACAACGCTGAACGCGAGACGGGAAGAAGCCGAAGACGCGCTCCCATCGTGAGTGTTACGCAGGTGGGCCCCATTCGCTCCAGATGGAATTACGTAGGACCGACCCTGTCGTCACCGCTGAGGATTCGGTTCCCTAGCCCGCCTCCACTCACTCTTACCGCAAAAAGCTCTTCCAAGTTTTTATTCCTCACCCTTGCCGGCGACAGACACTCACTCTGATTAAACTGAAGGTAAGAACAACACAAACAAACAAACATAAAAAAAAAAAAAACGCACTCACACACATAGACATACAGACACACGAGTTCATACAGTCAGATCCAGGTTCGGAGATCTTAGCCTTTGCTTTGTGGCAGAAACGTGCACGCATCGAGGCCGTCGCAAGGGCTCACCAAGTTGCGGTGTGACTGGATAGCGAAGGTGGCGTTGGGTGCAGACGAGGTAGGACAAGGGTCTATAGCCATAAAAAGTCTGGATCTGCTGCAGAAGCAATGCAACTTGCGGGGAGAGAGCTTCGAGCGTGGAGCTCGACAACGGTAAGTTTGGGTCGGGGATCGCCGGTGATTATAGACATTATTTGCCCAAGATTTTATCTCGAGGTTGCTTCGTACAGTTTTTTTGCATTGAAAATTCTGAGTGTGTACAATCCTTTTTGTGTCAGGGCAAAGCTTTACTTGAGGGTCTGGGGTTGGGGGATGCGATTGCACCAACTTTGTGAGACATTATTGTTGTGTTTTAGTTAATAATCCACCCCAATTGGGCTCAAGCCACTTGTAGGCCTCAAGTTTGTTCGGCTTCAATTGTTCACAGAAACGTAACTCTCTGTCTAGATTTTTACACATTTGTCTGTGTTAGTTCTGGCATTAGGCTCAGTTAAAGTTAGAAGATTAAGGAAAAAGTGAGACCGACTTAATGTTACTACTCTCAAATTGGATTCTAACCTAATGCTGATAATGTTTGATGGTTTGCAATGATATGAATTCCTGCTCAGATATTACCTGAATGTTGTGATGTTATAACTTGAAGTGAGATGAATTTTCAACTTGTTATGATAAGGAAAATTGTGACGAAGAAAATAAAAAGACAATTATTGATTTAAAGTACAAATATTTTTATACTCATGTGTGTGAGTTTCATTATATATATATATATATATATATATATAGAAACAACTTTTTAGATTAGATCATATCTCTAAACTCTTCTTCATTTTTTTTTATTCATGTTGAAATTCAACTTTCACATGTTTTCCAGTTCAATGTGTGCCATGTGTTTTGTTACACGAATCATACTCTTTTCATGCCAGGATAAAACAAGAAATCTTATTTTTTTACTCACCTTCGTCTGTTCAAAGCATAAGTTACTATTGAAGGAATTCAAAGAATGATGATACATTCTTTGCAAATCTTGTACAATGTACTGATTTCATTTTGTTTTGAAAGGATATGAATGCGTAGTAAAGTGTTTTTCACTGATTATTATTTAAATGATCGTTAACAATTTGTTATTTAAATCACATCTTATTGTTAATATCATCATCTGCATGAGTTGGACTACGGTACCACTTAGTCCATTTAAAGTACTATTGAAAAATGTAGGGGTATTTTTCCACGTAATTTTAAAGGTCATGTTCAATTAATTTAGTACTACATAACAATTCTCGTTACTTTCACAATTTTTGCTGGAACTTGGAAATACTTTCCAATAAACATCTTTGAAACTTTGTTGGAGTTAGTTTCCTAAAGAGAAACCCATACAAGTCTCAGTATTGTTTTGTAGGAATGGTTAAGGTAAAACATTGTTTTGAATTTTTTATGAAACATTTTTTATTGATTTTTCCGAATGTTCTCATTTAATGAGAATTGGGATCATGATTTTGTGGTTGTTAATATGATGTTTCAAGACAAAACGATCAGTGGATATAATTTGGCCATCATCACAACAATTAACTGTTTGTTTTTTTCTTTTCTTTTCTTTTTCTTTTTATAGTTTTTGTTCAGATTGATAATTTTTTATATTGAATGATTGTTTCTGTATGTGGGTGGTGCTTCAAATTGGATGGCTTTGATAGTAAATGGATACTTTGTAACAAAAACATCAGTAAATATTACATGTATGTATTCAGTGCATATGCATATGGGTTTACTTTAGTTATTTGTAGTGGATATTTCAGTTCACAATTTGGCTCCGTAAATAACGCAATGCACTTGCTTTCCCTTTTTTCCAAAATTGGGTCTTAAATACTCTTTGATTTCTTCAATCAAAATAACATGACACTTTTCCAAAAATATCATTAAATATTCACACAAGTGTATCATTATTTTCACAACGTTATCCAAGAATGGATTCCAACTCCCTTTTAATCCTTTATAATGAGAATATATCTTCACTTTCCTTCATTAATTAAAGAAGCTATGATAATAAAATATTAATAATAGTAAAGCTTACCACGTCAATCAAGCTCTTTGCGAGCCATTCATTTACTTGAGATAAGTTCCAAATAACTAAAGTAAACCCACATTTCTTCAGCAATTATAGCAACAGAAAACGTGCAAATTTCACCATATCCATCACACAACTGATTTATGGTGTTTGCATTTATTTATTTATTCATTTATTTGGGTGGTTCTTCAACTGCCCGTAAAACCAGCTCCGAATTATGATCAGAGCCTTAGGGTTAACACCTAACCTTGATTTTTAACAGCAGCGAATGTGGCGAAAAAAAGGGCACCGGCAGTAATTTCCCGAAGGAAGGCGAAAAAGTGAAAGGCTAAGAGCGGAGGCGACGGACTCGTGAAATATCGGCGACCTCATCAGCAATCCCAAGCCAGATCGGTGTCTGTGCAGCAAGGCGGCCACGTTGGCTGCCAGGCCAGCCCCGCCACACGAGCCATCTCCGGGCAGCCGGCCTCCTCTGCCCGCCCTCCCCTCGCAGACGCGCTCGGGCAGGGCGGGCAAGGGTTGGGCAGGGTGTGAGGCTGCCCAGCGCGGGGTGTTGAAGGAGGAGGGGGAGAGAGCAGCCCAGCCCAGCCCAGCCCGAAAGAATGATCCTTCCACTTGCCTCCCACTTGGTGATTTCCTTCGTTGCCCCCCGCCCTGTCTCTCCCTCCCTCCGCCCGCCCTTGCCTGGCCTGGCCTTGCGTTGTCCCGCACATCCTTCGTCTTGCCTTCTATTGCAGCGTTGCTTCCCTGTTCCGCCAACTAGTCACTCATTCGGATCTGATCACGCTTCGCATCCTCTTACTTTGCCTATTACCGGCTCTTAGTTGAGTGCTGGGAGACTACATTTGTTAGGATTGTTACTTACCTCGGAAGTATATGGTGGCTTGGCCTACTTGGCTGGCTCATTTGTTGACTCACTTGTTGGCGTCGTGAGCAACGGTGTGATAGAGAGGCGGTGTAAGGAGGGGGTGGAAGAAGAAGAGGACGTTAGTCGGCGGTTGAAAGCGCTTGCCTTGGCGGTTTTAGTGAGACGAGTTAGGCTTGTGGCGGTGTTGATTGATTCAATGTTTATTCGACTAGAGGAGCATTGTTGGATGAGTTTTGTGCCGGGAGGCGGTGGTTTGTTGTAGTTTTGATTGTTGGCGGGTGGAAAGCGTGCCCAGAGCGGCGGAGTTTCTGAGCGCGGACGCGAGGATTGGAGAGAGGCATTTGGTGGAGAAAGAGGAGCATTATCCGCCGGTGAACTAGGCCGCGCGGTGTTTATATATATTTTTTACTTAGTTTCTCATACACAATCTGCATTTTCCTCTGTTGGCGGTGGAGTTGGTCGAGGAGAGGATTCGGTTTGGTGTTCAGTACTGCTTAGATCGAACGAAAGTCGCTTCTTGTTAGATGCGTTGCAGCGGTTGCTTTTGAGACTTTTTCGAGCGGTGAATCTTCCGTTGTGCATAGTGCGCCGCCTTTGACCTTTGTCGTCACAGTTCCGGAGTACTGCGTGTAATTGCTTCCACTTGCCTCTGTAATGCATATATCTGAAACGAAGGCTTCGACGGTATCTTCTAGTAGATGACTCATGCGCTGAGATATTGCAGTGATTCAAGGTAGGTGCTGCAAGACTCCTATTTCTTAAACTTCTTTTAATGCAGCCTTGAGAGATCTTGCCGCGTGCCTCCCACTTGTCTGCATCCCAGGTGTCACATTTTGGTCTCAGTGAAATTGGAGAGGAGTTACCGTTGTCTTCGAGGTCGACACGCTTGTGTCAGTGGAGTTGATTTGATATTAGTGGACTGCGTTCTAGTGAAATTTAAGTATTGTAGAGTAGGCTGGTTAGAAGCATTATGTGGATCTTGTCCTTGGGGTTTGTTATTGTTTTCGTGACTGTTTTTTTTAAAATCGATTCGGGGTGTAGTTGAGAATTCTCTTTGCTTCTTCCAGCGGTGGTCCAACCATGCCTTTGTTTTTGTTCCCAGGCGTCCACTGTACTACGACTTATCGTTTTAATCGTTATCGTATTCCGTCACTCTTCCTCTACGACTTATCACACTTTCGAGGTGCTGGATTGTGAATTTCTCTTTGCTTGCTCTCTACATTTTCGTGTAGTTGCTTTTGTTGTTAGAACCTGTAGGTCAGTGTTGTCATGTGGACAGCAAGACGTGTCGCCCATGTTTTGACGCCGCATTTGAGGCTTTCTGCTTTCCTCTGACTTCAGTGACTTCACTCTTTCATCTTGTATGTTCGTAGTTGTGTGTAGTCTCAAAGGCAGTATATTATGAATTCCTCTTTTAGGCAATGTGCATTTTGCCTGCTTGGTGAGGTTCTGAAGGACTTGTTGGTCGTTGATTGGTTGCTGATCTGGAATATGTGCTACCAAGATTGGAGAACAAGGCTGTCTGCTCTGTTTCCTAGTCTAACCTTGTAACTTCCGTCACAGGATCATGGAGTCTTCGGGAGAGGTGATTAAAGAGCCTATACCTTCGCGGCTGGCTTCCGGCAAGGAACCCGGGCGTTCGGTCAAGAGGAAGAGGGCAGTCTCTGAATCTGAACAGGGCCACAAGCGCTCTCATGGTGCGAGCGGGGTGAATTCTAGCTCTCGAACGCCATCCAAATCCAAGTGCATCAAAGATGCTGGTGCTGTCAACAGTATCGCTGGGAAACGAAAGAGGTCGACCACGGTTGAGGAAGACCCAGAAATGGACTCCGAGCATGTTATGAATGCAGCCCAAGCGCTCTTCGACCTTTTTGCCGGTGCCGGAACTTTTAAAAATGATGCTACCGACAGCAAATCTGGTGAAGGTAAGGCCGATGGTGTGAAATGGGCAGGGAAGAAGAATAGATCTAGCAGAAGCAGCAAAAGACCAGACGACTCCTTCAAGTTGAGTTCGAGTTCCACCACAAGTGCTACCGTGACCGACATCCCCGAAGTGTTGGACTCCTCTGCTTCACATAATCACCATGTAGTTGCATCCCATCCCCATGCCTCCCAGACTGGTGCCCAAACTGTGAACCATGAAGAAGACTCTGAGGCTGACGCAGATGCCAAAAGCACGGACATGAGCCCATGCGGTCTTGGTTTTGACAGAGGCCATCGCTTGCTATCGCAGTCGAGTGTAGAGTCTACTCTTCTCGACTCACGAGCCGAGAGTCCTAGCTCCCCTCTCCGCGTGCTAAGGCCAGAAGCTGATCTTATTCCGAAGGTGGAAGAGGAGCTCATGTTGCAGTTCGGGTTCCAGAGAAACCCCCCACTGCGGCCTGTGACCAAGCCATCAATATTTTGGAAGCTCAAGGGTGAGGAGAATTGCATCGTTGAGGTGGATGAGTCGAAGGATGTGAAGCTTGCACTAAAGCAAGCGCAGCGTCGGAAGCCACGAGCTCCGAACGTTAAAGGGCAGTCACCGATGTTACAAGGAGATGTCTTGGATGTGCCCCTAGCTTCTTCCGGAATTGTTCTGAAAGAATTTATTGAAGAAAACAAGTTCCAAGTTCCTGTTACCTTGAATCTGTTTGAATCAGTCAAGGAAGAAATCGGAAGAGCGAAATTGGGGGGCAGAGAGCTTTATCAGACGGGCTCGTCCACGCAAGGCAGACTTAGGAGTGCTCTGAGTGAGGTATGTCTCTTAGTGAGATATAGGAATCTTTCTCCCGTATGTTTTCAACCATATGTCATTTTGAGGGGAAAATGTTTCCTTAGTTGGAGGATGGTCGATAATTGTCCTTTAAAGATTTGTTTTGTTAGGTATGAGCTCTGTATTGATGTGAATAGTACTTTGATGATCTACTGTAGGCTGAGAAGGAGGCTCGTAGACTTCGTCGTGTTCAAGCCAATCGTGAGTCTGCTCGTCAAACCATCCGGAGAAAGCAGGTTCTGTGCGAGGATTTAGCTCGCAAGGCTAGGGAGCTCCAGGCCGAAAAGGATAATTTAAAGCTGGTATGTTTCATCGTAAGGGTTACTGCATATATATTTTTGTTCTGTGATTCATTGTTGAATACATCTGTACGAGTTGTAATATCTGTTAAGAATTATTTTTGCGATGTCAAGTAGCACATGTAGGAGAATGTTTTCCGTGTAATCCTTTGCTTATGGCTGCATCTTGTGATTCTTTTGAAAAACAATTCGTGTTTTGGTCTTGGAACATGGAATACTAAAGAAAACTTATGGTGTGCAGACCCTGGAGCAAAAAGTCAAAGAATTAAAAAGACATCAAGAAATCAATAGGCATTTGAAAGAACAGGTATGGTTCATTTTACACGTAGTCATTCATCAGATATAGTTACATGATCGCTCAAGTTTTACATTTTTTTGATGTGGATGTGGTTCTTCATATGGATTTCGATACGGATATTGATCCGCTCTTTGATGTGCAGATTCCCTTACAGGCAGAAAGTTTAGATGCACCAGTTTCGTCTTCCAAAGGGAGTGCGACGGCATCACCAGCCCCTGCAACTGGTCCAGTGGGAGGAATACCTATGCTACCTTACTGGTGGGCATTTGCATTAGCCCAATCTGTCGGAGCCACTCAGTCCTCTGGAACGCCTCAGATGCCCGGGGGTGCAGTGATGCCACCTGATTTCAACGCAGTTTTTGCTGCCACTGTAGCAGCGTTCAACAATGGAGCTGCAATGAACCCGAACATGTGGATGAACCTGGTGGCGAATATGTCCAAGGGACAAGCCCCAGGAATTGTCGCAGCACCTGATCAGCAACCATCCTTGGCTCATTCTGCAGCCAGGCCCGCAGGTACTCCGGAATTACCACAGAAGCCTTCTGCTTCAATGTCTGGTGGCACTGACAGATCCCAAGGTTTGGGAATGTCACCTATGACCAAGAATTACGTCTCTGCTTCACCTATGAAGGGTGTTGCAAACGCGGATCCAGTCGTCGCGTTGTCTGGATCTTCGCCCCAAACGAGTAGGAAAATATCAGTAGGATTGCCGAGCATGCCCAGCTCTCACCAATCTAGAGGGAAGTATCAGGTGGCAAGGTTGCGAACTCCTGCATCGCATTCATTGCAAAGAACAGGCTCGGGCATGACACAGTATCATGTTGCTGGAGACGGCACGGTTAGTACATCAATAACATTGTCTTTGGGTCTGGGTTCTCATCAATTACATCATCCGGGGCGAACGGAACAGATGAGGAAGCCAGGTAATTTGAAATTTTTCCCCACTATTGGAAATGGTGTTAAAGGCTTCCTTGGCCCTCGTGTGGGAGCCTTCCAGTCGGAAGCAGCGGCCAAGGCCACAGAAGCTCGCAGGCGTCGCCGAGAGCTCAAACGGACTAAGAGCCTGCAAAGTCAGCTTCAGCACGATAAGAAGCTTGTCTCGGCTATATCCTTGTAACCTAAGAACCCTTTTTTTCCCTTTTTTTTCCTTCATTCCATCCCCTTTTTTAGTAGATTTTTTTTCTAGGGCTTTACAAAAGGTTTTTTTTCGTCCTGATCCTGTATTCTACTGATTCATGTGGGGACTTCATTTAGATTCAGAAAGCATTCTTTTGACGGTACATGAACCAGTTCTTAATCAAACACCTTGATATACATGAGCATCATGGCTCAGTTTTAAAGATTCGGTGCACATTATGCACTAGGGGGGTTATGGTCAGCCAGCTCGGCGACTCTTATGTGACTACAGAGAGTTGAGTCTCAGACGTCATTGACATGGACACATTACAATATTGATCGTTATCCCTCACTACAGAATGAAGGATATGTATACAGTTTTTTCAAATGTAATCAGATGACATACGGAATCATCCGTCTACAGAATTTGCGGTCTTCTGGTAACAATAGATGCTGTTTCTGTCTCTCTTGTGCTTTCTTGTATGCATAATCTCTCATGGAAAATGGCAAGCTTGGAGGGCTGGGGTCATTGTTCGATTGAACGTTTGAAGGTTTGATATTTGATTTTGGTGGTCAATGTCTGGAAGGTAGGTGGTTTGATATAGCCTATCTATTTTTGCTGCTTGGTGAAATCATGCACTACTTCGTAATATCTCTTCTGTCTGTTTTCAGTACTCCGTGAGTGAGTCTATATATGTATGTCTTATTTTAAAAGTTCTCGCTGCTGCCCAACATTAAACACTCAATATAAGCACTCTACAATAGAGCTGAAGTAGCAAGCCAGACTGATGTAGTAAGATGATGTGTAAAATGTCCAGGTCTAGTCAACACAAGTCACACAATGGGGAAAATGGCAGGCCACAAAACTCTCAAACTTGTTCAAAGTAGCACTATTCATGCCTAAATAGGATTTATTGCAGATCTCGGGCTCATCTGTAGTGCTAAGCGGTTGTATTCTTAATGTTAATTGTATATAGAATGAATATACTGTTCAAAAAAATTGTAATGATTTTCTCCTTTCCAGAATCGAAATGAAATCATCATTTATTTTTAGCAAGTAAAATCTCACACAACCAATGCAGAGTGCAATGAAGGATATATATTTGCTGATAAAAATTATCAATTCTCCATATTGTCACTAATGATTACAAATATTATTTTAGCTTCAATTCATACATTTGTGTTTAGAAAAAAAAAATGTTGATTAGAATCCTTTCAAAAACTTAAAGAAATTTTGAATTCTGAAGCACTTTATAAACTTTGGAAAAAATAGACGATTGGCTAATTGTATTTCAAACAAACAAACAAGTGCAAAATTCATATTAGAATAATTATTAAATTTCAAAAACTATAAATCAATGGACAAAAAAAAATATTATTAGATTATAATAATAATTATAAATATGCAAATCAAAACACATAAAATAAATGGCTTTAATTTTATTGTTATAACTATATGTACACACAATAAATTTATTTCTAATTTTCTTTGGCTCTTTATTTAAATAAAAATATAAAAACATTTCTTGAGGTATATTTTGTAAATTATATTTTTACATTCATACATGCAATAAACTTTTAGAATACACTTATAATGGACATTGAATAAGAAGATTTTAAGAAGATTTTAAGAATATTCTATTAGATTCTAGAAGGTTCTAAAAGATTCTAAAAAGATTTTAGAATATTCTAAATATTTTAGATTATTTTTAGAATATTCTAATAGATTTTAAAAAGTTCTAAGAGAATTAAAGAAGTTCTTTGAAAAGCTTCTTAAAGTTGCTTCATATTTAAGCAACATGGAAACTTCTTAAGAAGCTTCTTAATATCTAGTATACATTGTAAGTCTTGACAATATATCTCTTGAAGTTCTAATTCACCTTTTTTAGTGTTGATCTTATATTCATTTAGTTCAAATAAGTTTATATCAGCTTTCTTATTAAAACTCTTCCATTCAACTTCTTATTTGGTCTCTTATATAGTACATTTGTGACAGTTTGTCGAGACTTCCTTCTTATCAATATTAGAATTTGATCCTTCTTGATACTGAGTAGATTATCCTTCTTGTTGAAGGCATTTAAGTGCTTTAGAGGTTGCAAAGTACCCTCCTCTAAATTCGTATTGTTCAAAAACTCATTTTTTCTCTTTCAAGATGACTAAAAGTGAAGATAGTATAGTTGAATCTCTTGAGTCCAAGTTAGATATTATTATGAATACACTCAATGCTTTAGCTTATAGAATTGTTGAAATTGACGGATTTTTTATAAGATTTTGTAGTAATGCAAGACCTAGAGCATGTTAGCTTGTGATGCAAGCACTTTTTCAAGCTTCTACATCCAAGGAGGCAATGATACATGTACATGAACAAGAAAATTTAACTATTCAACAATATAAGGAGCCTTGAATAAGTCTTCTAAAAAAGTTTGATGGCACATGCTCAAAGTTTTGAAGGTTAACCAAATTTGATTGATAATTTTTTTACAACTTGAGTGCTATCCAACAAATGAGTCATGACTTGGTTTAGTTGAAATCTTAGTCACATGACAAGTATTATCTAGGTTTGTTCTTTTATTTGAGAACAAATCTCTAATCTTAAGCAATTTTGAAGCTTTTTTAGAAGCATTTACAAAGGTATTTGGAGAACATGACAAGGCTCAATGGACGACAACAAAGACTTATTCATTACTTTAAGAGTCACGTTTTGCATCAATTTATACATTTGATTTTAGGCAATTGGCTTTTGATATCAATTGAGATGAGTCAATTCTATTAGAGATTAAGAAATGATGTGAAAGACCTATTATTATCATTACTTGATCTTAAAACACTCAATAAAGTTATCAATCAAGTTTTTAAATGTGATAATTGATTATTTCAATGTTGTCAAGATTAGTGCTGATGGACTTTGACAAATCAATGCATTGAAAATTTGTACTCTGTTGCTTCATTAGATATATTACTTCCATACTCTAAAGTTAAGGATATACAAATTGATGCAATATAGTTCAAACCTCTTACAATAGAAGAGAAGAAGTATCGATTTGAATAAGGCTTATGCTTATATTATAGTCAAGAAGGCCACAAATCTAGGAACTCCTCAAAGAAACAATATATAAGTAGGATTAGAAGTGTGATCATTGATAAAAACGACGAGGCCTAGCCATAACAAGGATTGTACAATTAGACATTGTAACACCTCAAATTCATCAAGGTCCTTCTCTCTTTGCCCAACTTGCTTCTTATTTTATTATATCTTTATTTTTTGGCCTACAAAGACTTCAAACAAATGCCTTATTAGATTTAAGAGCATTTACTTGTTTTTTAGATGAAGAATTTTCCAAACTTCATAAAATTTCTTTAGTACAAAAGTCAAAACTTATACATGTAGAAGTAATAGATGGTTGAATTTTATATTTAGGCAATATTACTCATGAGACCATATTTCTAGAAATATCATTTAAGGGCCATTGTAGCAAAATAATATTATTAGAATCTTGTTTAATCCTATCATTCTACAACTTTTGTGGTTAGAGAAATATAATTCATCTATAGATTGGAGATTTCATAAGATTGAATTTCCTGTAAAATTCCTTGAAGCAAAACCTATGAAGAAGTCATCAATAACCAAACTTTTATTTTTAGAAGAAAGAATTTTTATGAAGACAATAAAGAAAGAAATGCAATTTGTTATTTATGGAGCTCTAGCTCATGTCAAGGATACAAACTAAAAGAAGATGCATAAATTCATAGAATCTATCTAAAAAAAAAAGTGACAAAATAGAAGAAAGTATGTATATTCAAGGAAGAACTGGAATGGCTATTATCAAAGACTAGAAAACATAAGACTCTTAAAATTAGACTAAAATCAAAAAAAGAGTTGACAACAGTGACGAAGGCGTCACTCTTGCCTCTATATATACTACTTAACTAAAACATATGTAGCGACATGCTATAAGACCTCTAATATGCATCCAACTTATAAGACAAATGTCTAATTTGCAAGGCAAGTTTGCTAGGTGTATGCCATATGTCCAACTTGTACTACAAGTGGTCAGCATGTCAACATGTGGCTTCCTTGTTGGCCAAGTTTTCAACCTATCAATCACCTATAGACATGTATAAAAGCAAAGTAGTGTCTATAAAGCTTCTAAGAAGCTTGACATAAGTTATTATCATATTTATTTACTTTGACTTACTTCTATATATTTTTATTATCTAGATAATTATTAGGATACATATGTATATCCATGACAGATAGTCCAACTTGTCACAAGAACAAGTAGTCTTCATGTAAGTGTAAAATTTACTCCTTAACCCAATTACAAGCTAGCCTCAATTAAGAGTTGTTTATAATAGGTGATGTGAAATAAAAATAGCAAGAATAAAAACAAAAAAAGTAAAATATAAAAATGAGTGAACCAAAATCAATCAAGCAATTGTACAATACAAAACCAATCATAGTATGTTCACTGAGTTTTTATTTGATAAAAAGTAAAAAATAAAAGTAAAAAATATATTTTTAAAAGTTTTTTTTTTTTTTTTTTTTTTTTTTTTTTTTTATCTTTCCAATGGTATAAAAAATATATAAATCCGAATTATTATGAGTAACAAGTAAATGAATGAAAAGTTAAGTAAATAATTTTACCTCAAGGGTAATTTGCTCAAGAAATCAAGACTTCAAGCCTCACCAAGGCTCACAAGTAATGTATATAGGTTGTCTAAAGAAGCTGTAAGGCCTTAGTCTTATCTTCCTATCTATATCCAAGGTGCTACAATCCATATGGAATTTGTATACCTTTCTTCCTATAAGGACTAGACTAGCTGTTGGTCCTCCTATTTTCTACTAGTAAAACTCATTTTTTTTGCATTTCAACTTTACCATGGTATTTAAAAATATCCTATTAGCCTAAGAACCTTGTATGACCTTTGAATCTTACTTCATTTCTTCATAACGGCTCCCAAGGTGGTAAAACTTATTTTTATCAAAGTTTTGGAAATTATTTTAAAAATTCCTATAATGGTTCTATAATACTAATATCAATTTAAGAATATAATTTCATATCTTGATGATTTTTATAGTAATAAAATCAATTTATATCTACTATAAATCCTACTTTTTATATAAATAATTAAAAAGATATGAGGTTCTTTCTCATGCTTCTTTTAACTACTAACTAACATTTATAGTTTTTATTTTTTATAAATGATATGTATATATAGAAGGCCAATATAAATATTTACCTTAGTAAATATTCCTCAATACTCAATAATAAATAAAAAATACTAAACCAAGTAAGATAATTGCCTCTAAGACTTATTAAGATTCCATTTCTTCTCCATTAATACTATTCTCCTTTATTTAACATCTTTTAAGCACATTTTTACCTAAAAATTGTAATTTTTTCACTCTACATACATTCTTATGT